CTCTCTCTCTCTCTCTCTCTCTCTCTCTCTCTCTCTCTCTCTCTCTCTCTCTCTCTCTCTCTCTCTCTCTCTCTCTCTCTCTCTCGCGCGCGCGCAGCCTTAGCTAAGTTTGCTAGATCTCCGGAGGTCTCTGGAGAGGTGAACTCTCCAAAACGTACCCCGGAGTTGTAAAGTACTTGCTGTTCTAGGAATTTTGGATCATATAGTTCTAGGCTTCCTATGCTCGTCCATTTTTGTTTTATTTATTTGTTTACTGTACTTTACGTACCGTCGGTTTTTTGAATTTTTTTACGGTTTCCTACGCCTTACCTTTTTCTTTTTCTTTTTCTTCTTCCTTTTCTTTTCTTTTTCTTTCCTTTTATTTTACTTTCTAGTTCTCTCCCGCAGCTACACGTTGCCGGCGTACCAAGGACTTGAACTTTGTTCGGTAATCTGATTGGTAATTTTGCGTCGGTTTTTGTCCACGAACACCCCGATGATGATGACTATACACTGCTGGGGTGGGAACCGTTGGTTTTGGTGACTTACCTTGAGTCGCGCGAAACAGACTCACATAGATATAGTAAAATATCTGTGGATCTCCATGGGATAGGGAGTGACCGCCATACACGGCGCTTCGCGGGTGACCAATATGGGAAGGAAACATCAGGAAATCAAACCGGGGAGGGCGAGATATAGGTGGGAAAGGTGGGGAGAGATGAAGAGTTGGAAGCTTTTTGGCGGGCACAACGATATCAGGGTATGAGTACAAGTACCGACCAATAACGTGAAAGACGAGGGATTGCATATTGAGTGAGGGAGATGAAGAACTACCGGGTGTTGGGAGTTAGACGGAGCAAGTTAGATAGGATGGGTGTAGGCTAGTTACTCATGGGAGATACGTGTTGGACCGGCTGAAAAAAAACATATAAGAGAGGACGTTTTACAAGACACATCACAGCTTCACATTTCTCGATCTTGAGTTTGATCTGGATCAGCCCCCTGATGAGACTGCCATGTACGCTGGCAGCGAAACGCGTCAGGGCGACGCGTACTGAGCATATAATGTAAGAGTATCGAGTTTTTCATGGTGTGATTTACGGTGTCGAGTCCTTCTCTTGGTGTATCATCCTTCTCTCTCTCTTTCTCTCTCTCTCTCTCTCTCTCTCTCTCTCTCTCTCTCTCTCTCTCTCTCTCTCTCTCTCTCTCTCATTCTTTCTTACCCCCTTCCCTCGTTGATGTCGTGCCCGTCTGTTTTATTTCGTCTTCTGTTTGTTTTTGTTTTGTTTTATTTTTATTTATATTTATTTATTTATTTATTTATTTTTGCCCGTTTTTTGTGGGCTACCGGTCGCACCCTGGTGGGTACCCCGCCCGACGTGGCGCGTTAATGGCCACGTCGAATTTATCAAGCAAGGCGAGGTACTGTCACCAATTCAAAATCCATGTTCGAAAAATTTGTAGCAAGCCTACGAGTCCAACCTATGGAGGGGGCCAGAAAAAGCAAAAACGCCATTTGAACTTATAATAGCCTTGGTATGACTAAACCCTAATGAACAAAGCCAAATAATAGATTGTGAACTAGAGAAGAATCTGGAAAGTTCCAGAAAAGGATTCGTCCAACAGTAGATCAAGTAATTTCCACCAAAGGAAGATAGCACCAATACTGGCCCGACAGAGCAGCTAATAGCCGTGGGGAGCCTGGGTTGTCGTGACCAGGTTTCCCACCTTGCACCCTTGGACCTCTGTAGGAACTGCCATCTTCCAAGCACCCTAGATCTCAATGGGTACAACCCAAGTTTGCTCTCTTGACAGCTAAATGCTATTCAGCCGCGCCTTAGTAGGTCAGCAACGTTCCCACCACCTCCAATAGTTTTGTTGCCTTCTACGAACAACCCTCAACCTTCCACATTTACCAACTAAAACTAAAGCCGAGAACCCGCAGTGGAGATTCCTTGAAAGAACCTCTAGATTAGGTGAGATTATGTGAGATAAACGTTACAAGTAATTATTGGAATTACTATGTTACACGAGGGCTCAGATATGGGGATAGGGATGAAGGGTTGCCTGAATCCAACCTTACGACCCGACGCAGAGTATGAGTAAATTACTGCACTACACAAATGTTTGCATATCAGAATAACAAAGAAAGAATGCACCAAACGAAACATACGCCCAGATACGGAATACTAATGACTAAATACCATCAAGGTTGCCAGTGACACCAAAGCACATAGAAGGAAGTGCTTGAAAGAGGGGGAAATTAATTCTAAATATTTTCGTGTGCGACCATCATGAAGTCAGTCAGCCATAAGGAGTATTTAGCAAAAATTATAGCTAGGTTAATGCACTCTAAATATTTCGTGCTAGAGAGTGGCTAGGTTAATGCTCAGCGTCCTTGATCCCAACGGAAACGCTCCCACCACCACCAGAGGAATTCCCACTCTCATTGGTGGCACCGCCGCCTGTCGAGCTTCAAATCTTCATGCTCCCAGTCGAGATAGTCAACAGTCGTTCTCACGTGCTCCTCCCAACACCAGTCCCACCACCACCGGCTGCCCACCCACTACCTCCAGAGGTGCCGTTGTTGGATATGTCCGCTGTCCCGTACTAGACTCTATCTCCCTTTGTCGTGTTCACACTGCACTCGTTACTTGACTTTCATAGATTGTCTGTTGTAGGAGGAACCGAAATCGCCCCGCTCCCCGACATTCCACAGGGAGACACAGCCCCTTGTCGCAACTGAGGGTGATGGTCGAACCTACGGATCGACAAAGAAGACATCGTTCCGCCCCACGCCCTGAATCCCACACCTCGCTGCCGACGAAAAGCACTGCCGTTTTCGGACAACGAGTACGCCTGGTAGCACAGCGCTTCATAGGAGCGCTACCTGCTCTCCTCCAAAGATATTTCGGATCCTGTTTTCTGGGTTCCATGGTCAAACCTTCACCGTAGCAAATCCCACTTTCTACAGGGGCTAGGTCTCACTTGCACGAATTAAGAGATTCTAATTGTAAATCATAGCAAAGATCAACAGCCAAAATCTCCTAATTTGCGCAAGTGGGACCTTGGCCCCGTACATGGAGCAGGTGCGAGGGTTTCAACTACACTCCAGTGCGAGTTTTCGCCCATGGAAGTTGACACTCTGTGAGACCACCTCCCCAGATCTCTCATACTATTGCATTATCCAGAACGTTGGGGCCGCCGTGTTTATGTGTGTATTTAGGGTCCCGCCGTATCACTCATCAAATATGGAAAAAACAGAACTATGAGTCTCGCTCCACTACGCTTTTTTTTTTTTTTTTTTTGAAATTTAGACCGTTTATTG